TTTATTGCAGTCACACACTGTCTCGACCACTGAGCCACAGCCCCTCCCGATAATCCCTATTCGTATTGCATTGTTCACTGGTTGCCTTCTGCTCTCTGACTGCACTGTTTTATATCCTGTAGTCTGCCTTGAGTCTCAATCAAGGAAGGCAGACTATAAAGCCAGTTTGGTGTAGTGGTTTAGGAGCACGGACTCTCATCTGGGAGAAGTGGGTTGGATTCCCCCACTCCTCCACATGCAGCGGCTGGGGTGGGCTTGGGTTATTTCAGAGCTGTTCTCTCAAGGGCAGTCCTCGAGAGAGCTCTCTCAGCCCAACCTGCCTCACAGTGTGTCTGTCGTGGGGGGGGGGGAAGGGAGAGGTGACTGTAAGCCAGTCTGAGACTCCTCCGGGTACTGAAGGGCGGGGTATAAATCCAATCTCTTTCTCTTCTTCTAAAGTGAATAAAATTCATTTCAGGAAGAGGGAGAAGGAGTGTGCGTGTGTTGATCTATTGCTGCCTTTTGAAAACACTATCAACCAAATTACACCGAAAACAGACCGTCAAACGTTATATGAATTGTACAATACAATAACTTCAATCACATATCATGTAGAAACATTCCGTGTATTCATAAGGATTTATGCACACTGGAGCCACATCTGTGGTTAAGGAATATGCATTAGGCCAGGGGTGGCCAAACTGTGGCTCGGGAGCCACATGAGGCTCCTTCACACATATCGTGTGGCTCCCGGCAGGGCAGCTGGGGAAGCGAATGGGAGGGCTTGCCTCCCCGATCGGTCTTCCCTTCCCCGGCCAGTGTTCCTCTTCTTGGGTAGGCTCGAGGCAGGGGGGAGCAGAGAAAGAAAGCAACTTTAGCTTGAAATGCATTCTCAAAGCCGCCACCCCCCAGCCTACAAATAGGATTGGACAAATAAATATCATGACCAATATCTATTTTTATCCCTTTTGTTTTTTATTTTTGGCAACCTCATTTGATGTTAATACAAAGCAAATTTGCATATTATTCAATAAAAACGTCAGTCATATTTGCTCACGCCATGCGGCTCTCAAACATCTCAAACGTTTATTCTAGGTGGCTCTTGTGTTAAGCAAGTTTGGCCCCCCCCCTTCATTAGGCTAAAAGTTTCCCCCACTCGATGCAATTAACAAGACAGCGCTAGAAGCACAACCATTCGTTATAAGATTCTTAAAGCAAAGACTTTCCTTTTCCTGAATTGGAGAAGGTCTCTCCTAAACTGTGATGAAAGTTATTGTGTTGTATGATTTATGTTGGAAAGTGTTTAACAGAGAGCTATAGAACGCTTCCTGCCAAACTAGCAGTTAGAAAGCAAGAAATTGCAAGTAGATAAATAGGTACCCCATCAGTGGGAAGGTAGCAGTGTTCCGTGCGCCTCGGCGTCTAGTCATGCCGGCCACATGACCACGGAAACGTCTTCGGACAGCGCTGGCTCTTTGGCTTTGAAACGGAGATGAGCACCGCAAGCCTAGTTTTTTCGGAGCTGCGGTGGCTCAAGTGGTTAAGACGCTGAACTGCAGGCTGTGGAACGTCGGTAGTTCAGCAGTTCGAGACCCGAGTGTGCCGCATGACGGAGTGAGCTCCCGTCTCTAGTTCCAGCTCCTGCCAACCTAGCAGTTCGAAAGCAAGAAATTGCAAGGAGATAAATAGGTACCACTTTGGTGGGGAAGGTAACAGCGTTCCGTGCGCCTTGGTGTTTAGTCATGCCGGCCACATGACCATGGAAACGTCTTCGGACAGCACTGGCTCTTCGGCTTGGAAACGGAGATGAGCACCGCAACCCTAGAGTCGGACTCGACTGGCTTTCGAGCAAGGGAACCTTTACCTTTACCTATAGAATGTGTGATGGTCTGTTTTCGATGTAATTCGGTTTATGGTATTTACCCATAAAACTTCCCTTTTGTGTTTGCATGCCTTTTGGAATCAGACAGGAGTGACGCTAATTTCTTGTAGGATCCGATTCGAGACAATCGAAGTCTCTCCAACCGAGGCTGCAAATTGGCTTCACGTTCCTCCATTTTCAAATCCCCACACTTTGGCACTTGAAAAGCTCACTCTGCATAAGGGGAAAACGGTATGCCAAGCCAGAACGGACACTGAAGTCCCACTCGGTCTGAAGTGCTTGCGTACGTTTTAGCTTAATCTGCCTTAAATAAAACAACTTTGCTTCTTGAGTTCCATGTAGTACAAGAAAGGGACGAGACAATTAGCTGTTCAAAATGATGCCGGTTTGCAGGAGCCGCATTCAACTCTCTCGAGAGGGGTCACTCAGGATGGAACTCCTAGCGTGCGCAAGATTTTAACGGCGATGGGCTGTTCAGCATCCTCATTTGTCACTTGTGTGTCCCTATTGGTTTGTTTTTTTCCCTTTTCCACATGCGTGTTGCTCCCTCTAGGGGTCAATTTGATATTACATCGGTGTATGTCTTCCTGCAGATTTAAACTGCAGGTTTTTATGCCGGACATACAGTGATGTGAGATCAAAATGACGACTAGAGGGAGCAAAACACATGCGAAAAAGAAAGAACCCAAAGCAATAGCGACACACAAGCAGTGAAAATAAGGATGTGGAAGAGCCATATGTTAGACACACATTAGACCACCACTAGAGATGTAAAATTTCCAGAAATTTTGAAGCTCGGAAAACCCCCCGGTGTTTTTTTGGAAAAAAACAGAAATTTTCGGAAAATTTGAAAAAAAAAGCTACATTAGCATTTCTTTTGTCTTTTCCAGATTGAAAGTCATTCTGTTACTTTAGGAACATAAAATATGACTATGGACATTTTTACTTGGCATGAAATTATCACAACTAGCATGTTAAAATTATAGTGTATCCAAACAATTATTACAAACAGAATACCCACCCACATGCAAAAACCAAACTGGAACCTTTTTATTTTCTTCTGAAGAAATGCATCTTGTTCTTTCATTGGAGATTTCAGTTTGTAACCTAGGACTTGCTTGTCCTCAGTGCACAGAAATTAGATCAATCTAATATATATATTAGAAATGATTTGGAAAATATTTGAACACCTTGTCTTATTTATTTATTTATTTTATTCAACTTATACCCCGCCCTCCCCGCAATATTTTATTCATCATGTTAAAATAAAACGTTCCTTTTTTTTTTCTTTTTTCAATTTTTTTGGGGGAAAAAAGGCTTCAGGGAAAAAAAATGGGGGAAAAAACGGTTTGTTCCCAAATTTTTCTGGTTTTTTTCTGGGCCTTCACATCTCTAACCACCACTACAGTAAAGACCACACTCACAAAGATTTCTGTATGTAGAACTTTTAATTCTCAAGATCTGTACAGACAACTCACACATCTTTTTAAAGTCTCTGGGGGGACAATTGGAACCAGAGTGCTATCAGCAGTCACGGACAAAAACAGCCGGGCGAACAGTTTTATCCTTCGAAGGTAGACAGGAAGCTTGTCACTATCTCCTTCAGCTTGGCATCTGTTTGTTCAGAGATCTTCCCGTCAGTCCTGTTGAGGTGAAACCAAAAAAAATGAAATCTCAACTCATTCCCAGCAAAGGTAAGCCAAAATTCACTATGGCCTCCTCGCCTCCTGCCCCCCGCTATCCATCAAAAAACAAAAATAAATCTGATGTCGTAAGCGTCTCACTTCATCTCGCAACCACCTAAAAATATATACTTTTATGTTTAGCTCAGAACTACAAGGTCGAACAGATGCAGTCGTTGGGAGTCCAGTTCTGAAACCGGGCAAAGCTTTAAACTGAGTTTTTAATCAAGATTTATCATCGATCCACAACAGTTTATTCCTAGAAGCGTGATAAGGACTGGGCATACAAAACTAGGCCACAGCCATTCCCGGGGCTTTTGATTCATGGCCGATTTGGCGGTCCTTTCCCGAACCGTAAGTCTAAGCCGGGGTACCGAAGAGCACCCTGGCACCCACCATGTGCCGCTCACTAAGTAAGTGTGGGCAGGTGGGGCCTTTCGCCCAGCAGGGCTTGTGATTGGCTGGGCAGATGAAAAGGCATCCTGTTCAACAGAGCTTCTGCCTGAGTGTTGAGAAGTTACTATTAGTTTTATAGGTATCTTTCACTCCCTGACAGTTTGTAGTTGGCTCTGCTCCGGGTGGCGAACATGTTGTGGTTGGTTCCACCTGCTATGGCGGCCATTCTGTTGCTGTGCCCACCATGTGTTGGAATTCCAAAGGTGCCCCCCCCCCCACAGGTTTAAAAAGGCTGTGGGATCCCTGCCGGATGAGACCAAAGAACGGCCCTGCCGGATGAAACCACAGCCCCATCGATTCCAGCATCCTGTTCACACAGTGGCCTCCGGGAAGAACGTAAGAGAAGCCAGGTTGGATCAGGCCAGCAGCACATCTAGTCCAACCCTCTGTGCCACACACTGGGCCCAAGCCCAGGTGCCATCAGGAGGTCCACCAGTGGGGCCAGAACTCCAGAAGCCCTCCCACAGTTGCCCCCCCCCAAGCACCAAGAATACAGAGCATCACCGCCCCAGAAAAGTGTTCCACCTATATCTTGTGGCTAATAGCCACTCACGGACCTCTGCTCCATAGGTTTCTCCAATCCCCTCTTTGGTGGTGTTTTTTTTTGGTTTTGTGTTTGTGTGTCTGCACCAATGTTCCCTCTAAGCTGAGTCAGTGTGAGCTAGCTCACAATTTTTAGCCTCCGGCTCACACATTTTTGTCTTAGCTCAGACTCGAGGGCAAACTGATTTTTGCAGTAGCTCACAACTTTAATGCCAATAGCTCAAAAAGAATATTTGCTCACAAGATCCCACAGCTTAGAGGGAACATTGGTCTGCACCTGGAAGCCATGGCGACCTCTGGTGACTGACCCCTACTGGGGGCCTGGAGGATATTCAGAGAGGTGGCTGAGTAAAG